CGTACATCCGGACCGTAGCTTACCAGCAAAGAGTAGCTCGGTACTACAATGCCAGAGTAAAAAAGCGGAACTTCCGCGTCGGCGACCTGGTTCTCCGTAAGATCATGGCACCCGAGCCCAGCATGGGCAAACTTGAACCTAATTGGGAAGGACCCTACCGAGTAAAGAGAACACTCGGGGGAGCATACAAGCTCGAAACACTAGAAGGCAAACAAGTACCCCGAGCGTGGAACGTCGTTAACTTGAGATGATTCTACCTATAAATCACCGAGCGAGGTGGACTAAGTCGCTACCTAGGACCTCGGCGTGGGCAAGCAAAGGCAAAATGCTAACACCAAGCTCAGACAAAGTGCTAACAGCGAGCTGATAAGGACCTCGGCATTTCATCATTAGAGGCATATAGTCAGTTCGGAAAAAAGAGGGTGATAGAACAACACTTAACCAAAAGGAGGACATTTCATTGTAGAATACTCTGTGTACATTCAAAAAAGAAAAACAACAGAAGCGAGCTCACAGGCCCGGAGGTACATCTTCCTCACCCTCGGAAGGCACTTCAACGATACCCGAGTGTCCTGCCTCGTCCTCAGAATCCGGTTCACCATCAGCTGTGTTGGCCATATCCTGAGTAATACGTGAAGTGGTTATGGTGCTGATGTCGAGCTCGGGGTACGTGTTCCTGATCATCCACCGGCTTAGTTTAAAACCCCTTCTGTACGAGCCCACCATCAGGTCGTCAAAGCGTGGCGAGGCGATATAGTCATCGACGGCCTTCTTCTTGGCATCCTCGATGCCCTGAGAAAAGATCTCAGTCCTCTCCCTAATATCCTTCTGAAGGTATTCGACTTGATGCTGCAAGTCCAGCCTCAGGTCCGCCATGTGCTTCACCACCACTCCCATAGCCTCGGTGTCTCTCTGAGACCTCGCCAGTCTGGCCTATGCAGCGTGAGAAGCCGCTTCGGCAACGCGGGAAGCCTCTTCGGCAGCTCTTGCCCGCCTCAAGCTCCTTTCCGCTTGGGCCGCTAAGGCATGGATGGAGGAGTTCACCTGCCAAAAAGAAAAATAACGACAAAGTTAAAAGAGTAATAGCGAGAAAGGTAATGACAAGGAGCTCGGCAAGAAGTCGCTAGCTTACCACCATGGCATAAGAGGCAGCACGCCCAGCTATGTGGTTCAAAGGAAGCTCGGCCCACGCCGCGACCTCCTCAGGGTAAACGGCCTCCTTGCTTTTTCGAAGAGCATGGCTCGGCGACAGTACGCTCCTGAAC